ACAAATGTTTAGTCTAAATATCTTAAATCTCATAACATTATACATCTATATATATTTATTATTTTTATTATATTGACCTTTCACCCGTGCCTGGTTAACATTACAGAAGTTGCGATGATGTGGGCACACGTGTACTCATTTTACCATTATCCAAGAATACAAAACTTGCTTTTACAAAGTGAATAGTCTTGGCTATGTTTTGGTGGACTAGTACTTTGTAAAATACAGTCACATTTCAGTTACAATACATTATATATATATATGTATATACATTATTAATATTTACAAATAAGTTATTGAACTTATTTTTCTTAAAACATAGAACAGTAAATAAAGAAATATAGCAAACAAATATTTCTTCTAGTTACGAACTTTGTACTCATTTCCTGCTTGCCATAGGTTGCTAAGCCTTATTAAATTTTGCACAAGAAGGATGTGAAACAAAATAATTTTTTGTAAATTTTATATATACAATTTTGAAATAACAAAAAATCTTAAATTACTACATCAATACCACAGAATTCCACTATCATTTATCAAGCTCAGTAACTAACCTGTTTTTGGGTCCAAAAAAATATGATATTTCAGGCTTACTAATGTCATACCTTACTGCTTGAAATCTAGCATGAAAAGGAGTTTGCTGTGCAAATACTTTTCAGTAAATGAGAAAGCCTCTAGGGGGACATTACAAGATTTCAATTGGTTATACACTCATCAATGAGCAAAGTAGATGTATGTAAGCAGGTTTTTTTAATAAACATTGAAGAGGAGGGCAGGGCCACCTTGGTCGATTCAATAAATATATTAATATATCAGAAAATAGGAAAGATAGGAGGTTCTTATTTTACATTCTAGCTTTTTAATATCAGTAATCTGAGTATATAATTTGTAAGAAACTATAGACTTTGTTGAAAATCGAGGGCATGTCATCAATTTTGTAGACTTACATTCAAAATTTTATTGAACTACTATTTTATGAATGTATGTCAATAAGTTTGGTATCAAATTGAGGGATTTTGCTATTTCTTACCCAAATCCTATCAGTACAAGTAAGACTGAAAAGTCTATGTGCATTTCCAAATGACTGAAATAAACCACACTCGCTAACTTTCTAAAGAAATAAAGGTTAACATTATGTACTGTACTGTATAGAAATAGAATACATGTGTATCAAGAGAACACCATCAAGTAGTCATATGTACAGTATGACAACAGGATACACTACGTGATTTAGTTATTGTGCCATATATAGCCATACATGTGCATTGATAATAGTGTAATGCTGTATTAAATATATTTATATAAATACAGTGGAATGATGTCTTCTGCAGTTCTCTGTCCATTCTTGAAACTCTACTTCCCAAGACCACCACTGACATAACTGTCAGGTGGTCTTTCTAAAGAGGAACTACTGTACAATGGTTTTCATTTTACCTATTTGGCACACATGTGTATAGGGACATAGTGATAATCAATTAATGGAACCATTGATTGATCAATTAGCAAATACCACTAATTGCCCAGCTCTAGTGACATCAAGGCAATTAGCACAATAACAGGGCTACAGCTGAGCAAATTTATCAATTGATCGATTACTTATGAGCTGAGATTTAATGGATTTTTCAAAATTTTGATAAATGTAAACTGTGATTAAATGATTAATTACTGTTATAAGTAATCAATTAATCAAAGGTACTGTTTCTGATTCATACCGTTTGCAATTATTGCAATAATCAATTGATAAAATCGTGATTAATAAATTAATGTCACTAAAATACAACTAATCAAAGAGAAACAAATTAGCTGGCAACACCCACCACCAACTTTCTGGCTACTATAGTGTTAAATAAAATCTAAACTTACTGTTTGTTTGTTTTTCTACATTGCGTAATGCTTCTAATTTTGTTTTGTGACTGTATTACTTAGTGTTTTATAAGCAAGCATGAAATTAGGGGAGAGAGTTCAGGAGGTCTGGATTC